TGGACAGTGGCCGAGCAACTTCATTTGCCATTTGATGACTAGTGTTAGCCTACAATGTTAAACTAGGGGAAAAAAATCTAAGTGAAGAAATCTAACAAAATCGACCACAATCACCTTTTGTACAGGGGTAGTAATAAAGAGATGCAATGGCTCAGCTACACAAGATGGAGGCAAATACTGTTAGGAATACAGAAGCAATGAAACAAGGAACAAAGAAGCATAAAATATACCTTACCTGTCTCTAGTGACTATCTGGAGTAATACCTTTACTGATACTGAATGATATTTTCTCAGGTGGATGATATATTACAGTTTTCTACCCAGAAAAATTTAAAAAAAAATAAAAATGAATGCTGGGATAGCCTTCTTTCTGTCCACATTTGAAAAACACCTAGGTCACCAATCTGTGGCTAGATGTGACTGCAAGCTTAAAGCACATACTGAGGAAAACATTCTGCAAATTCTAATAAAAAGGAACCGTGGTTCCCTGTAAATGAAATTAGAGGAAAAGGCTTCCAAAAAAAAGAGTATTATGTGAGAATTTCTAGTATTTGGGTCAACTTCAGTGGCTTACTTTGGGTTTAGTTTTAGGCACTTTTTCGAAAGATCGTATATGGCAAGCTAATCGGTGCCTGTAAGTTCACAGAGAAAGAATTTTGAACTCTTATGAAGAGGTGTAGTAGGATAAAGACTGTTAAATCCCACTCAATGCTTTGAAAATTTACCACCTAGTGTTCTTGAAAATTATTTCTCCTGCATGAAGAGGACTAGAAAGAAGGAAGTAATTAAATGAAGAAAGATGTTCCAAGAGAAAGAAAGAAAAAAAAACCAAAAAACAAAACCAAAACCAACTAGAAACACAAGTTTCTTAGATCAGAACATTTATTGGTGATTTTGGGGAGTTCAGAATTAATAATCCTTAAACCCCATTTCTTCTATGTTAAACTGGTTGCCTTATCATCAATGAATAAATGGGAAGACAAATGTTATTTTACAAATAGAAACTTGGGAATTTTACACCCCCTGTCATCTTTAAAAAGGAGACTTCTGGTAGTTTCTGGAAAGACTACTCAAAGAAATACCATTATTTGTTTTAAGTTGGTAATTTTGAGTACTAGTATAATATCTTCTACATCCTCTTGTGTCCTTCTGAGTTTGTTTAGAGTTATTTTTTGTGTATGACTGAACCTTAAATTTGCAATTTTTCTAACTGTGAAATAGAAGATAACCACTACTGACCCCAGTTATAGTCAAGATTTTACAGACTTATTCATATATGCTGAATGATTTTGTTCATAATAACAATACATATATTTATAGAATTCTTCTTTTCTGCCTCCCTGAAGCTACACACTGACCAAGATAAAGGAGATGGAAATTTGAAATACATATTAACAGGAGATGGGGCTGGCAGTCTGTTCATTATAGATGAAAATACAGGAGATATTCATGCTGCAAAGAAACTGGACAGAGAAGAAAAGTCCCTATATGTGCTACGTGCCAAGGCTATAGACAGAAAAACTGGAAGACAAGTGGAGCCAGAGTCCGAATTTATCATTAAAATCCACGATATCAATGACAATGAACCAAAATTCACCAAGGACATGTACACCGCCAGTGTTCCAGAGATGTCTAGAGTTGGTAGGTAAAATTTATCTTTACATAAAATACAAATGGGTTTCAGTTGATTTGGAACTTTTAAATAATTTATTATTTGAGGCACATAATGTTTGAGGCACTTAATTCTGTGAATATCCATGGAACTATTTTTATTGGCATTAATGTATCATAAATTATTTATTCTGTTTTTATCTCTTTCATCTTCACCCACTTTTTAATCCTTTTTCCACACTATAGGCTATTCTTTACCCTTTTAACTCACCAGAACCATCAAGGAATGTAGGTTGTCTTATCAGTTGCTACATAGTTTTACCACAGCTGAGAATATAACTTGCATAAAAATATATTCTCTTTGTATTTGTAATGTCTAATTTATCAAACCTCTCTGTACCTTTAGACACAACTTTAAACATGTAAGTATGTAAATCAGTTAAGGTCTCAAAAATGATGGAAAATATCTTTCTCAAAAATGAAAAAAACCCTTGTTTGTTTGTTTGTTTTGTTACTGTTGGCTTTTTATGTCTGTTTGAATGTTTTTAAATTATTTTTTTATCTTTGGTATCAATATTAATAGTTGTTGTTGGATGCTTTTTTTTCTTAACATGGACTTGTTCAAATAATATAAAGTGATAGATAACATTCATCAGCACACATTCATCAGAAGTTATCATGATTACCTAAATGCTCTGTTGTTTTATAGAAGAGACAGTCTCTCTGACGAATAAGCATAAAACACATAGGTTATGGGAAACAACTGACAGAAAAATTCTCAAGAGTTATTTACCTATCATGGATTACTGTAATGGTTTACAAAATCAGCCCTGTACGATGGCAGTGCTAAAAAAGACAACAAAATACCAATCAACATTTGTGACTAATATGTATCTTTGCAAAATAATTTCCAGAAGCTAATAATTATGTCTGAAAGCAGTAACAGAAGTATAACGGAACAGGACTCTTATTTTATAACTCTCTTTTTTAATCATAAGAATAGAATACCTACACTAATATGCATAGTGCAAAGAGTCCAAGAATGGTTCTTTTAAAGATACATGGAAAATAGAGCAATCCTTTCCATTCAGAATTTACTTTGCTGACAATCTGCGAAGGAAAATATATTAGTAGAAGGGAACTCCATAAGTATAGATAGGATAAAAAGCGTGATGTCCACGCTTAACCGTATCACTTAGCCCAACTTCATCAGACTCAATGGAGAAGCAGGAATAAAAGACAAGAGAAAAGAATAAGATCCAGTGCTTTGGCACTGGTTGTGAATTTTTAAGTCTATGACATGTCTATGTTTGATGAGGATGATGATAGAATAAGTACCATTATGTACTTTAAGATGACAAAGTGTCCATTAAAAACCCAAGTAAAGGTAAGTCTTGCTGTGAAGAAAGAATTAGAGAAAAATGATTTAAACAGTAAAAGATGTCCCTTAGATTCCAATTTGAAGGCAAAAAAGGGGTCTGAGTTACTCTTTGCTCTGTTTAGTTGTCATTTGCATTTGGGAATACAAAAGCTACACTGGAATGGCAATTTTTAGCATTTGAAATATGGCCAAACATTTTAGTTGGCTCTGGACTGTTGAATTTAAAATTTCAGGTTGGAGGACTGTATACAGTCATGAAGGAAGAACTAATTGTGAAATTATTGAGTAAACAATTTATATTAGGGTTACTGCTGCTGTGAAAGTAAGTGCATCTGAAAAAAATGGACAGAAAATATACTGAAAATTGAAAGAAAGAAAAAAACCTGAGATCCAAAAGTGCAATCCAGAAAACCAGAAGACTTCAGAATAAAAAAATTAAGTGCTCCTTAATTCTGTATGTTTGTCTATAACAAATGAAAGAAAACAAGAAAAATAAAACAAAACCAAGAATCTCTGGAGTAGTGTGGTCGTCTTCACTAAGACTACATGAAATGAAAAGTCAGTGTATTCTTGTGTTTCCTGTATAAATACTTAAGATGGTGAAGATATTTTGTTATAACTCTATGTATACACAGATTCTTGCATACCTAACCAAATAACTTTTCTGACTGGAAACAACCATACAATTACACTATACATATTTTAGAAAATAGATGTACTCTTGATGAGCAGGTCAAAAATTTGTGGGAAAATCTGTTTCTTCCCATCTTTCACTTTCTCCCAATTTTGTGTCTTTTTTCTTAGCTATTATATTTATTATGTTTGCCAAGTTCAATAAATATGACAGCAGATATTTATGAAAGCTCAGAAAAATGTCATTAAGATTGAAAAATTGAAGAGGAATCATCACTAGCAATCTTTCCAGTGGCATGTGTATCTGTTTTTCAAATGACATATCATACTACATATTTCTCACTGTGTTACTGAATGTTTCTTGGAATAACTAGATCTAGAGCACACAAGGGAAAATGATAAGTCAACACCACTGACAGAATGTGTAATTTTCAGTACCAATAGGCAAACCTCAGTCATGTTTAACTAGTTGTATAGTAAGAACAGTGAAAGTGTAACATGGATTTTCAGCACAACCTATCCAAGCCCAGGGGAAAATATGAATGCTTATTCGTGCACTAGTTTGTGCTTATCCAATCTTGTAATATCTACAATGCAGCCTTTAAGCTATACATCAATTAGCTTTGCTTTGCTTAAGTAGGATCAAGTCATATCTCCAACAGCATTATGGGTATACCTAAAATGCTTTGTAGCAAAGTTAGTATGGGGAGCAATCAAATCCACTGAGGTGAGCTGACTGCACTGCCACTTCAGATACATAGCTTTTATGGAAATGATCATGCTAAATGTTCACAGTGCTATTAACTTAAAAAATTAAATGAAAAAAATAAGGAGATTCTAAAACTCAGTAACATGGCATTTCTCATTAAAACCAACTATTATTCCAAAGAACTGGAAGATAATAACTGCTGTAGCTATATTTTTAAAGAGTGCTAGAGCTGACTGGAAGAATCTTGAGATTTATGTCAGAAGAGGTAAATTGATTCAATAAAAAATAATTCTGTAAAAAAAAAAAGAGAGGAATATGCTAGACAGACTCATAAAGGTTCATCAAAACTTAATATAGAAAGTAGAAGAACAATAGACTTTCAACATTTTTAACCTGATGAAATGCCACAGCTGTAAAATATAATCTTGACCACAATGAAGAGCAGGTGGATTTGAAGCATCACCTATTCTGATTTAGTTATGTTTTAGAAGTACTATAGGAAGAAACCAGATAAGCTAAACACATATTATGCATCTTGAGAATAATCTTTTCATTTCCTTTTCATGTAGAAGGAAAAGCACAGCCCTGATCTTACTTAAAATGTACTCATTTAATCTTCAAGGCTTACATGAATAGAAGCTACGATCCAAGAATTTTTTCCAAGTGAACAAAGATGGCTAAAAAAAACCCAACATAAAATTAAATAAAAACTAACCCTATGCCTCAATATGAAAACAACTTTTCTCAGGGTATAAATCAAGTTATTAAAAATTTTTTTAAAACGGAAGTTAGAAATGAGATGTCTTGTGGAGTTCCATCCCATTGAAACCTGGGTCAATATTATTACATCCTGCTGTACCTGCCTTGCTAATTTTAACGAGCAAGGCTTATTATTTTTTCACATTAAACTTCTTTAGCATGCAGCTGATGAGTATTTCACAACATATTTTTAATCTTTAAATTGATTCTATTACAATAAAGGATAATGCCTAATTTAGCACTCATTTATTTGTTCTTAACAGCTACTTTCTAGATTTATGTATCTAATGAAAGACACCTCTTGGTTCAGAATTTCTACATGACAAGACTTGTATAATATCTAAGTATAGAGGACCATATTTTAAATGTTTAAATATAAAATTTAGCATTTTTTCATTACTTTTATTGCTAATACAGTAAGAATAAAAGAGTTTTTCTTTAGCTGAATGGTGAAATTTGATAGAAGGACATTATATATGAAATATGTATATTTATGGCCATTTTCTACTCAGGCATACAGGATTACAGCATGCCTAAATATGCCTTGTGTTTAACAGCTTCTCTAAATAATATATATATAATAAATACATAAACACAAAGAGAAAGAGAATAAGATATTAAATTGCAGTGAAACACACAGGATAATACACATTATTACAACCATTTTATTACCTTGCTATTGTCTGTGAGTGCAGTGGAATATGCTACAACATCAATTACACAATGATTGTGTCAGAAGTTCCATTATTATTGTTCACTATTTGTATAGTATCTCTTAGGAATCTATAAGCATCACAATTGCTACTGGATTTAAGACTGCATTCTGATATGTAGTTTTAGTTGTATCACGTTTTCAGCATCAGAATCATAAACACATATTTGTTATTTGGTACTTAAAACTTCACATTTTCTATTTTTGAATTCACTTATATCAGTAAGCATTAATCTACAGATGTGTGTAAAAGACTATATGGAGACAGCTCTCATCTTTC